GCCGACCGCGCACCGATTGGCCCGGAGTGCGAGTGACGTCACGGGGGACGGTGGGTTCGCCCCGAACAAAAGAGATGCTGATCTCCCGCCAGGTCTGGGGCTAGAAAACTTTTTTTTTCCCCTTTTGGTTTCCTTTGCGGTCGTCAAACTTTTTGGAGGAGGATTGGGGGTAGGGATGGGAAACGACTGTAAAGTGAGATAGACCCGGAGGGAAGGGAGGGAGGAGCTGGAGCTACATGAAGCCTGGGATGACAAGGCTTGCCCCCCTCTTTTTCCTCTTTTTTTTTTTTTTCCTTTTTTTAAATTGGTGGCTGTGGTGGTGTTTGAGAACATTGCGTCACCTCTGAGAAAAGTCTGTCCTCACCGGAGTGTATTTTGTGGGGAGCGAGAAAGTCATAAAGTGGCCACCACCTTGTGGCTGTAGGAATCCAGACTTCACTTTTGCAGCCCCGGGGTGGGGCGGCTGCTTCTGGGTGCTTTTCCTGGGTCTCCTGTGCGCCGCCTAGGGTCCCCCTTTGCTTTACACTGTTGGGCTCAGACCCCAGCTCCTCCAAGCAATACCTACATGATTTCGAACAAGAGCCGGCTGGGAGAGAGTGAACGCGTGGCAAAGGTGACCCTTGCCCTGGGGGCTCTCCGTGGAGCTCGGCAGACGGCAGGCAAACTCACACGACCAAGTTTCTCTGCAAAGATGAAGCAACAGTTTCTTTTCTGAGTCCTGAAGCAAAGTTTTCCTCTCCTGGGAATGGAGTGCCCGTTTCCTTTAGAAGGAGAGTGAACAGTTTGAGAAGAGGAGTAGTTGAACTGGCTGATGAAGGAGGGAAAAACCTTCCGGTCCATGCCATGTTCACTAGGCCATTTGCATCCAGAGAAGAGGTGGCCTCTGTAAAAGAGCGGGCATGGGCAGAAAAGCCTTTAGGTCTTGACTTCCTCCAGCTTTCCCCCAATCCCTTCGCGTGGTCACTTTCTTTTTTGTAGACTTCACTGTCATGGAAGAATTCCTCTATCCACCCCTCCTCCTCCGCCGCCAGATTTTTCTTTTTTTATATTTCAATTGTTATTTGCTCCAAGAATGTATAAAGTTCCACTGAAAATTCTCCGGACATTCTACACTCCTGAGGTTGTAAAGGGGACCGGAGATACCCCCCCCCCCGCAGTCAGCAGTTCTAAACACTGGTTCTCTCTCTCTCTCTTTTTTTCCAGACACACACAGGCACAGTTGCTTTTGAAGGGCTTCAAAAACGAGAAGCCCACAGCTTTCAAAGCAGCAGATCCTCACCCCAAACTTGGCTTTCTCCTTCGGTTAGGCACGAGGTCTCGTTTGCTTTGAGAACATATTAAAGCTACCAGCAAAATATGTTATTTCTACCAGGTTCTTGTTTTCGCCAAAAGTTCCGCCTTCGGGAACTGCCGTGAGGATAATTTGAACTGTATGTTCTATAAAATCTTCATCACATTAAAGACACAAAACTAACATTTATTTTTTTATTGATGTAAAGAACTAAAAACAAAAAACCACAGCGAATACCAATTTCTTATAAGTGGTGTAAAAAACTCTTGAGGATCTTTCTGACCAACACTCGGAGTTGAAGGAGTGCCATAGATTGCCCCAAATTTAGAATCCCATCTGGGTTAGTTTTATTTTTTTTTAATTTCTCATCATCCCTTGACAAAATAGTTTTCTCTTTCAAATATAAAAGGACTCCTTGTAAAACAGTGAACTTCTGGGAAGTGTTCCCTGGGGGTGTGGGGGGATACCTGGAAATCAGGATGCTTGCAAGATAAACCTGTAGGAAAGTCTCTCTGTAAATACGGAGATTCTGGAGGAATGAAATGAGCGGTTAGAAAAGAATTTTGTCACAAAAATATGATAGTTTGGTGTATTTACTGTACTCAAAATACTTTAAAATAATATACCTATGAGAGCCTTGCTGGGAACCCTGTCTACATTTCAGAAGAGAGTTTTCTCTCTCAGTTCCATAGAAATATCTCTAGTGGCCTCCAAGCAAAAACAGAATAATATTTGACTGAACTTTATAGGAATTCTTAGGACTTCACCCTTTTACTTGAAAGTTGTGTTTTGTTTTTAATTTGGGAGGTGGAGACGTTTTCTTTGTTAAGATTAAATCTGCCTTGCCACAGTATCCATCCTCTATCAAAATTATCTTCAATTTAGAGATAGTTAAATCTTAGAGACTACACTTGGGGTGCTGAACTGTAGATACAGCTTCAGCACTGACTGCTCTTCTAGAGGACCCAGGTTCCATTTCCAACACCTACATGACCACGGACGACACCCATATTACCGTGACTATTCACAACCATCTAGGGAATCTCTCTCTTCTCAGAATTAGGCAAATGATGTCTCAGTAAAGTTGGGAGTTTTGTTTGTTTGTTTTAGGACTATTTCTGTGTTTGTAGTACCTTTAGCATTTCCTTGATCCTAGGTTACAACAGCATCCACAAAGAGGCCTCATTTCTTAGTTTTTCTAGAAGGAGGTTGGCCTTCAGTATAGAGGTGGCTTTCCTTCCCCATCAGTAGCTTGTTAGGGAGCTAGCTGTCTGTGTATGTGATTCCTGGGTGTGGCCGAGAGACACAACCAACCACGAAGGACTGTGCCTTGCTTCCTCCTGTAATCGCCCTGGTAACAGGATTTTCCCAGTGTTTCTGACAACTTAAAATTTCACCATAGAAAAGGGAGCGTGTACATCTGTGTTTTGCTGTTGGAAGGAGATGAATAGGAGCATGTGTGGGAGAGAACTGAAGGAGATTGAGTTCTTTCCAAGTTGAAAATTGGAGATAAAGCTTGGTGAAGAGCAAAGATAATTTATCAGATACATTCATTCAGGATTGAAATTAAAAACAATTTACACAATAAGTTGAGGGTAAGTTTTTACTTTCCAAGTGAAAACGCCAGTTTGTTTAAGACTAATAAACATTATAGGCAGTATCCCTACTGACCAAATTGCTTGCCTATTGGGGGAGGGGAATCCCTGATAAGAACATTTGGACTTCAAAAGATACAGTTGGGTGACAGTGGCTGTTTTTTTCTGAAAATCTTTGCCCTTTATCCTGCTGTTAGTCGCTCAGTCCTGCCTGGGGAAGCCTTTGTCTGGGTCACCTTGAAACTCAACCTCCAGATCTTGTAGCATGTTCATAAATTTCCTCATTTTCTATAGGTAGGTTGGATGGCCATAAATTACAGTCATTTTTGTTCATTTTGAGTTTTGGGGGTTTGTGTATGTGTGTGTGTGTGTGTGTGTGTGTGTGTGTGTTTCTGTCTGTGTGTGTCTGTGTGCTGCCTTTGTGTGTCTGTCTGTCTGTCTCTGTATGAGTGTCTGTATGCTGCCTTTGTGTGTCTGTCTGTCTGTCTCTGAATGAGTGTCTGTATACTACCTTTGTGTGTGTGTGTGTGTGTGTGTGTGTGTGTGTGTGTAGTTTTGTTGTTGTTTTATTTTTGTTTTTGCATGAAATAGCTCCTTATTTTTTTTCCTGAAAACAGCCATGGCAGCAAAAATGCTGCTCATTAAGCCCAGGTGCAGGAGAAGCATAAACTGTCCCGTGGGCAGCCTGAGTGAAGAGCGTCTGAGCAGTTTGTCCAGAATTGACAGGCAGCCTGCAACCAGGGAGAAAGTATTTGATAATGGTTTTAAATTAAGCCATGAAAGCTAGCTAGTTTTAACTTAATAAGCATTTTGTTTATATTTAAAGTTACTTCTTTTTTTTTAAATCAGCACTTTAAAAAGCCTTAATCTACACCTTTTGCATTCCTTAATGGGAATACACCCTTCTCATTAGAATGATGTAACTCCCAAAGGCTTTGCAAAGGAGTCCACTTTAAAATGGAAAGAGGTATTGTGCAGCTGGACCACTTCAACAGCCCGGCTCTACTTCCCCAAGATAGGCAGCATGTGGTTGAGGAATTTTCATTTGTATGAATTGTTGATTCTTTTTCCAGTTTGGCTTTATCTTATGTTGGCAACATGATTTTATGCCCAATTTTGTTTTATGTTGGCAATTTGTTCTGGGAGAGTGACATTAAAAAAAATAACCTGAAAGATTTTTCATATTTAAATTATTTTCAGCTTTTTGCAAGTCGTATTTCAAATTTCTCATATGCAATTGGCCAGGAAGGCAGAATCAGATGCATAAAATAACCACAAATATTATAATTTAAGTAAAAATGTATACCAATAGACTATTGTGATGGAGGTGGCACTAGTCATTCATTGTATCTAGTTAGTGGTAACAAATTAAGGACATATCCAGCTGAATTATAAAAATGAAGACAAATTCACATCTCTCAAAATTTATAGTGAATCATGCCTACATTAATTCAATATATCCTTTTATTATCTATGAAAGGTTTACCAGCATGGAATGGACATTTAAAACCACCATTTTTGAACATGAAAAAGGAATGACATGGATCCGTGCATAGAATCCTAGCATTTCAATACCTTAATAGAAAAAAATTGAGTAAGTAGATTTTTACTAAATAAAGATCTAAGCCAAATGATTTGCTAACAAACAACATACTTGGTTTCTCACTTGCTATCAACAGTTGTCTTGTTTTGCAGAGTTGAGAAAGGAACACAGAGCCTGGAGTATGCTAACCAAGTGCTCTGCCACTAAGCTATGGCACCAGCCCCCATCAAGAACTTACAGCTAAGTCCCATCGTCTTCTTATCCTGACAAATGAGAACCTATGGCTCAGAAAAATCTCTAGAATGACATTCTCAAAGTCACCAGACTTGTAGAAATGATGTGTCACTTCATAATCTCACTCTTGCAGCAAAAACACAGGCAAAGCAATTGACTACAAGATTTGGGAGGATGTCATCTTCAAAGTGAGGTCAATTCATCTAAGAGAGGTCACTTGTAAAGTTACTCAGTGTTGTACTGCTGGTTTCTGCTTGTTGGATAAGGGCTGTTCAATCATGGAGCAGTCCAAAAAAAGACTACTACTTTTTGACTGGGAAGGCAGTGGTGGGGGTGGGGTTTAACCCAGGGCTTTGAACATGACAAGCATAGTCTACTGAGTCACAAGCCCCTAGCTCCCTAGTTTCGTCATTTTGCTTCAAATGTGAAAGATGGTCCCTAAGGACTTTCTTCATGCCTGAAAGTTTGATGGGGACAGTCTGTTTTATAATTGGCATCTAGAGGCCCAGCACTGTCCTCACTGTGCCCTGGGAGTAAGTATTTGGTAAATGTACAGTAAATGAAGAAAAAAAAAATTCTTACATGATGTCCTGGTGGTAGTGGCTCATGCCATTGATCCCAGCACTTGAGAGCCAGAGGTAGGCGGATCTCTGTGAGTTCAAGCCAGACTGGTTGACAAGCCTGTTACACAAGGAACCCCTGTATCAAAAAACAAACAAACAAAAAACCTCCAAAAAACAAACAAAAAAAATTAAAAGGTAAAAATAAAAATCTAAGATGATGAGCGCTTTCCTGTTCGAATGGAGACAACAGCCGGGAACTTCAGTATTTTGCATGTGTTATTTAACTTTTGGTCCTCAAAGCAACTGCCAGAAATAGATATTAACAGCCTCGTTTTTTACTCTGAGGCTCAGGGTTTAAAGGTGAGAGAGACAGGGCTGGAATTTAAATTAAGGTCCCTGACCTAAACTTCATGTTCTTAAGCAAGACATTCATGGCTTTCCCTGAAGTCATGCCCCATGTAAGTTACAAGAAATGTGGCGAACTCTCTGGCATTACCTTTTAATCTTCCTCCAGATCCTCTTGCTTTGCTCTGGGCCCAGGGCCCGGCCTTCTGGACTGTTCAGCTAGCCATCTGCTTACAGAAGTACAGGAGGGAGGCGATCAGGAAACTTCTTCCCGACCCCCACCCCACTGCCATTCTGACAGCGGCCCCCTGCTTCTAGAACCTGTGTTTTCGGGGGGGGGGCAGTATTTCCCCATGATGATGAAGATTGGTTCTGGGATCTGGGTAGGGCAAGGAGGTGGGGTGAGGGAATATGTAATGAACTTTTCTAAGACAATCTTTAGTTGCTCATTTATTACCCTTTAGAGTTCTAATCAAATTTAATTTCTCTCCAGGGATAGGGTGGGTCAGAGATAATAAATAAGAAGAGAGACAGAGATGGGGAACTCTAATTCACATTAGATTTCCATCAGGATATTCTCTTAGGAGGCTCCAGTCCTCAAGAGCTCCGTCCTACTCATGGTGGCCTAGAGTGACAACATTTTTCTATATTTCCTTTCTAAAGATTGAAAATCCTGTATATTTTGTGAGCATGGGGTAAATACATGCATGAGAGTGCTGACACCCGAGGCAGAAGAAATCCCTTGAGCTGGAGTTACTGGTGATTGTGAGCTGCTGGGCTTGGGCCATTGGGTATTGGGAACTGAACTCTGACTCTCTGGAAGAGCAGTACGTACTCTTCATTGCAGAACTATCTCTCCAGCTCCAGCTGTGACAAAATTTCTCAGGTGCTAATTGTTGGAGGCTTGGAGCATCGATGATTTATCCACTGCCGGAACCTTGGTAATATACCTGTCCTCAAAGTCTTTCCATGAAAACATATTGAGTTCTGTTTTCTGAGGAAACGCTCACAACCCAAATTCTAACACACTCTAATCTTGATGGTAGCATATGGCTTAATCTTATGTGGCAGCAATATATCTAAGGCACGTGCATTCTTTTCCAAACTGAACAATTAGTATCTGGGTGTAGGTTTCCCCTTGAAGCTCTCATATCTGCTATGGTATGCCCTCTAACGCTACAGTTTTCCCTCCCAGAGTAGAATGCTCTAATCTGGTGAGGATACAACTACAGAACATAAACCGTGATGTGTCCACCAAGTCATTTGGTTCATGCAAAGAAGAAATTAACAGGTGGGTGTGGTGGTACATGACTTTCTTTAATCCTAGCACTCGGGAGGTAAGAGACAGGAGGCAGATCTCTGTGTTTGAGGCCAGCCTGGTCTACAGAGAGAGTTCCAGGACAGCCAGAGCTACACGGAGAAACCCTGTCTCAGAAAATGAAAATAAAAATAAAAAGTGCTTCATAAATCTACAGATATCATGCACATAAAAGTGAAGGATGTTTTTGCTTGTACCATGCAATAGTGACAACACAATGTGATGTTTAGGAACATAGCTTTTCTTCAGTACTTTGAAACTTCTCACAGTGTCCTGGAGACCTTTCAACTCTATTACTTATCTACTGAAATCTGCTTAGTTGGGGGTTAGATTGGAATCCAACAGCAGCTGCAGTGTCTTAGTTACGTATGAGCAGTAATTCCCTGCCGTCCATTCAAAGACATTTGATAATGTATCTTCTATCGCAAAGCAGTCCTGTTTCTGTCAGTGTTCTGCAAGATTCCCGAGACATCACCAACTGACACAGTTTCTGCCTATTTTCTTCTCCTTCCACCCATCAAACTTTCAAGTAGAATAATGCAAGTGTTGAGGACCCAAATGATTAACCTACTGCAGCTTTAGCAAAGCAAAGTAAACAGTATGGAATCTTGGGTGGCACACCAGTTCTATTCTGATTTTGTCCTAAGTGACTGAGTTTTGTTGTTGTTTTTGTTTGTTTTGGTTTTTTTTGCAGGCCAGCAATATCATAAATGGAAAGGTAATTTTCTCCAGTAAATGCACATCTTTGTTTTAACTGTTGTTTCTCCAAGCGTGGCTTGCATTTATTTATTTATTTATTTATTTATTTATTTATTTATTTATTCATTTATTTATTTATTTTGAGTTAGGAGTGGTTTTTATTTTAAGCTTGAACTAATTAAAAGTGCTTAGATAAAGTTACCACTTAATCCACTCAGATAGTTCAGCAAATTGTGATTCTGGATGCTCAAGAGGAGTGAGAGGCACCATAATGTGAGCATTAGGACATTTTAAAAGATGGTTTGTTGTTTTCTCTAACATATTCCCTTCATATGTCAACTGCATTTGAGACATAAACTTTGATAAGGGTACTCCACAAAGTGGGTCACAACTGATAAGACCATAGCCAAGTACTCTGGTCCTCGGAGTAATCTTCCCCTCCCTTCCCTCATGAGTCAGTTTCCTGTCACTCTGGGGTAGTTGGCATTTTTCTAGAGTTTTAAATATCCACTGTGTCTGGCTCTTTCACTGAGGATAATTATTTTGAGATTCATCTCTGTTTATTGTATAAATAAATCATTCTTTGTATGTATGGGTTTTTATTTCTTGGGTAAATATCTAGTGACGAAATTGTTCAAATCATTTCCTAGGTGTTTTTTTTTTTTTTTTTGTATTTTAAGATGATAGCCATTGTCCTCGCTTTGTTATATTGTGCTGCCTGTCACCATCAGTGTGTGTGACACCCCAGCTCCTTAACATATTGCCACACAGCATGGTTGTGACACAGCAATTTATTCCCTCTTCTTGTGAGCAGTTACTGAGGGGCTTCTGTGTTTTCAACAGCTTAAGTACACTAATCAACAACTAGAAAAAAATGATCCTTTCTGGCACCATATTTCAGTTATAATTTGGAATTGTATTATGTATTTTTTTTTAATTTTAACATTTGTTGGGTGTACATGCATGTGGGTGACAGGGAGTGCATACACGCATACATGCATACATGCCTCTGGAGATCAGAGGACAACCCACAAAAGTTACCTCTCTCCTACTAAGTGGGTCCCAGGGGTCCAACTCATGTTACCAGGTTTAGCTATAGGTGCTATATCCATTGGTCTATCTAGACAGCCCATGGATTATGTGATTTTAGAACGTCTATTTTGGGGCTTAGAGATGACTCCAATGGTTAAGAGCATTAGCTGCTCTTCCAGAGGACCCAGGTTCAATTCCCAGAACTCACATGGCAGCTCACAACTGTCTGTAATTCAAGTTCTAGTGGATCCAACTCCCTCACAAAGGCATGCAGGTCAAATACCAATGCATATACAAATAAAAATAAAAATAAAGAAAGAAAGTCTATTCTGAGCCGAATAAAATGTGTTACTTTTGGCAGCTTTTTGGTACATAAGTCTTTACTATTACTTTAATATTGCCTCTTTGCTTATCCAATATTATATAATTTCCTACCAGTCTACTATTTGAAAACAAATTCTATTTCTCTTGAAGCATGATGTCAAAGATTGAAATTGGAAGAAACTTTAATCAAAAGCCAATGAGCTTTTGACACTGCAGGACATAAGTATTATAATCATGACTTTGTTAGGTGCTAAATTTAATGATTATTAAGCTAATTGATAGATAATGATAGGGTCTATTATTGTTTAATATAATTAGTATGTAAATAAGATGATGTCAGTTAGTTTCTATGTGAAGTTGTTACTCATGGCTCTAATATTTTGTCTTCTTCATTGTGGTCCCAATTCAACATTTCTCTGTAGAGACCAATATCTTATCGTAGTTCTTGAAATTTTCACTGATGCTTTTCTCCTAAACAGTACTGTCATCTCTTTAATGGAGGACACTAGCTTCATTCTTACTAGGAAATCTTTTTCCTCACATTGCAGATTTTTAAGGGGGAATGGTGGGGACGGCCAGATGTCTACACAAGAGCATTCCCTTCTAGGTTAGTTTTCTCACAGTAGACTGCATTTACAGCCTGCCTCCCTCGTGGCAGACATTGTCCTCACCAGTGGAATGTGAGAAGTGACATGTTTCAGATCTGGGGTGAGAATATCATTCAGCAGCATGCCTCCTCCCGTTCATTCCCACCAGCATTTACCGTAAAGATGATGAAAATGTTTTGGAAAGTTTTTGGCTCTGAAACACTCTGATGAACAGAACTTGACCAGTGAGTGACCTGGGTCATTCAGTTTGGGACTGCTGTCCGAGACAGAAATACACTTTTTATTCATGCAGTCCCCATGTTACTAGGCACATCTGTCCCAGAGCCATGCTTTTACAGAAGGCTTTTGGTTGACTTTTGTAGCCACCCTCCTTTTGAGAATGTCCTTTTCATTTGCTAGCTTTGCCTTGATATTGACAAGTCTGTACCACAGCCTTCTCTCTTTCTGGCTTTCCATAGACACACATAGAATTAACGTTTCTATGCCAAACTCCCCTAATGTTTTGCTATTTACTGCTGAATGGTAAATTTAGATTACCCATTGAATATTTTAGTACCTGCTAAGTGCACTGGTATAAGCCAAAAGGTTTTCCTCCCCTCAGCTCCACCCATTGAAATCTCTCACTGGGACCTTAATGGAAGACAGAGTCTCTAAAGAAGTAATTTAGGCACAAGTTCATGAAGGTGAGCCCTGACTCTACTTGACTGTTGTCCTTATGAAAAAGGCAGAAATGGCAGGGAGCAGTCTGACACCTACGACTTGGTGGTGACTGGAGCTGCTACCCAAGTCTCCACAGCAACCACCACCAAAGCACCTGGTGACTTAGTCATGCCACTTGTGATGAAATCAAACACTGAGGTTTGACAAAGGAGAAAGAATGTCTGGCTAAAGGAAA